CTGGGTACCAATCTCGGAATTCATTTGCGAACTCAATGATGGTGCAGAAAAATTGAATTATGGTGTCGGGGCCTCGGGCCCGCGGTGCTCGACTTGTCTGCGCTGGGGGCCTTGCTTAGCGCTTGCGCCATCGAGGTGGCCCCACTCTTTCCAGATGACCGCGAAAGCGCCCAGGGCTCCGATCGAGCCCTCCTCGCTCGCATCCCCGACCCCTGTTTGCAGGAGGCCTGGCGGGCGCCGGGGCGCGCATTGTCCCCCGCGTCTACACGCTGGGAAATAGGAGCCGCTCGCACTAGCTTTTCCTCTGAGCTCCTGTCGCGACTGTTCGCCCGAGGACGCCGCCGTCGACGCCGACGGGGCGCGCCATTTTTTCGCCGGCCGAATGAAAGCTGAACTACAGCACGGGCTCCGAAACCCACCGCCGGCGAGCTGTGCGATGCCAGCCGCGCGGGGCCAGTAGTCGGACAGGACGCCCCCGCAGCCTGATCCATCTCTCGCAGACGCGCCAGAATTCGCGGCCAGTCTCGCCCCCTTGGTCATTAATGTCCACGAACCCACGTCAACCCCAGGGCGTAGACCCTCACCGAACAGTCGGTCCTCGCGTTCAGCAAAAGAGGAAACCTCTGCCCATGGCCTGAGACGGCCACCGCGCGCGTTCATCGCCCTCGTGATTCCTGCAAGGCCGCCCTCGCGGAAGTCTTCGTCGCCCTCTGGGCCCAGTCTGGGCCGCGGCCTGCGAATGCGGATGCCCAGCGCCCCCACCCCCCCCCCCCCCCCCCCCCCCCCACCCACCCCCCACCCCACCCGCGTAGCATTGCTCTGAAGCCAGTCCTGAGTTCAGACAGCTATAGGCGACGATGCGACGCAATTTCTTTGTATACCTCGGGCGCGCCTGTCCGTGGGAACGCGAAGAATGCCCTTCGCCTCGACGTCGTGCTCACCCAAGCAGTCGCGCAAGCTCCCTCGGACATGCCAATCAGCCCCCGGCCTGGATATCGCGGTTCAAGGACGCGTCGCGCAGCGCGATGTCGTGGCTGCCAGAGAGAGGGTAGCGATGTAGGCTTGACACCATGTGGACGCCCCCCCTTCGCAGGTCCGCGGGCCACGACGTAGCCCACGCCCTCGCATCCTGCAGGAGCACATTTGCCCTGTCGCACTGAGCTGAGATGACCGCCTGGCGGGTGCCTTCCCGGGATGTCAGCACGGCCTGGTTGAGCGACTGAACTCCACAAAGGCATCGTAGTATCATCACTGATGTGACCGTACTGAAAGCCCATGGCTGAACCCTGCCTTCATGCCCGCGCACGCGACGCCGCTGATGTTCCGGCACACCTCCGCAATCAACCCTCTGAGTCCATGAGTTTCTATCTTTACCTTTGCCAATTTCACGGCCGACATGATTGGTGCTGAAAGCGTGCTGCGTTAAGTCGCGGCCTTCGGAACCCCACATCTTGCTCGAGCCTCTTCCTGATGTCGGTGGTCTCTGCCTTCTCACCGCTCGAACCTGCCGAACTTGCCGCCGCTTTTTCGTTGAGATGCCGATGCTGCAGCAGTGGCTCCCCTCCTCCAGCGGCGGCGCCTTCTCTGGCTTGCGCGTCGTACGCTGCTGTCTCTCCAGATGGGCGCAATGGTCGTCCAGGGTCTTCGTCGCCTTCCCCAAAGCTCCTGTGCAAACCGACCCCAAGGTTTCCAGAAGTTGACTGGATACTGCCACCCTTCTGTGTTCCAGTTCGCCGATGCCTGATTGCTCGCGCACGTGCGTTTGGGAGAAGTCGGCCATGAACTCGTCGCATGCGAGAACCTTTGAGACTTCGACTTCTTCATCCACCAGTTTGCACAGACTGAGGGTGGGTAACTGTCAGGCTTGCTCATCGCCGCTTCTTCATTGACTTCACCCAGTGCAACACGTAATTACGGAGTCACCGGCTTGTTTGAGTTCAGCTCGGAGGCTACGCATCGATTCGGTAAGCTCCGCCACGCGGATCATCCATATTTCAAGTTTGTTGTGTTCGGCGTTGGGCGGGTTCTCGATGGATGCCTGCTTTTGTTCACCTCGTTACCACTTCTGGCTGGCCGTAGGATGTGCCAGTTGTGATTGACCCCGACTGGCCGCCAGCTGTTGTTAGCGCTGAGATTCTTGATGGTCGCCTGCAGCTGCTGCCAGTGAAGCCAATGTGTTTGCCTTCCTGGCGAAGAGCGATACCAAGGGTGCTGCTGGAAGGGCAGGTCCAGCGTCGAGTGCCGATGTGTCACGACCGTTGCCGTTCCCTCCTCCCTTCCAGGTTGGGACGCCTGCCGCCGCAGCGCCCTGGCAGGCGGGCGCGCCCAGTGGCGGTGAGAAGACCCCGCCCTGCGGGGAGCGGCCCCGGGCGGCACCCCGAGGCCCGGGGGCGTGCACGGGGCGCGGCCCGCCGAGGCCAGAACGCAGCACTCACCACAAGGGGGGGGCGCCCGGGACGGGAGCCCACGAGGGCGGCGGGAGCGGGCTGGGAGGGAGCGACGGGGCAGCCGCCAGCTCGGTGGGCGCGGCGGGGGGGGGAGGGAGGGGGGGAGAGGAAAGGGTGGGCAGAGGGGTCGGCGAGGCAAGGGAGGGGAGGGGGGCTGGGGGGCTCCTGCGCTCTGGGTGGCCACGAAGAGCGGGGGGCCGAGCGCAGGGCGCAGCGCTCACCGTGCGGGCCGCGGAAAAAGGGCCGCGAGAGGGCCACGACGAAGCAGCAGGAGGAAGGAGGAGGAGGAGGAGGAGGAGGAGGAGGAGGAGGAGGAGGAGGAGGAGGAGGAGGAGGAGGGAGGGAGAGAGGAGGAGGAGGAGGAGGAGGAGGAGGAGGAGGAGGAGGAAGAGGAGGAGGAAGAGGCTGAGGAGGGAGGGGAGGAGGAGGGAGGAGGAGGAGGAGGAGGAGGAGGAGGAGGAGGAGGAGGAGCTGGACGAGCAGGCGTTGCCACTGCTCCCAGGGCTCCTGCCGCAGGTGGCGCCTGGGAGAGCCGCGGGCCATCCGAATGTGAGGCGCGATGCGGCCCCCCGCCCTCTGTAGGGGCCCCTGCAGCTGGTGGCCGTTTCGGGAGAAGTGCAGCAGGCGCCTACGACAAGAAATCGTGCGATCTGCAAAATGGGGGCACGTCCTTCGTCGCCTCTGCACCGTGTGAGGGGCCTTCGGGCTCTGCGGACCCATCGGGGGATGAGAAATGATCGTGTGCCACCCGTCGGCTGACCAGTGTCTTACTTGGCATGCCTACTGTAGAATACTGCGCCTCTGATGCATGCTTTCGACGAGCGCATCTACGCTGGGAAAGATGACGTCATCATTCCTCCCGCCTCGTGGTCCTTATCATTGTCTTCGTCAACGCAACAATCAGCATCGTCACCGCCATCGACGTATTGACATCTACGTCGCCATCACCACTAAAAGCTTAATCGTCATCGACATCGTCATCGTCATCTCCATAGTCGTCAGCACCAGCGTCATCCTCATGGATGTGTCTATGTCAGCATCGCGATTCCCTGTCCCGCAACTGTTATAGCTAAAGCATGCAATGTGTGCCCACCCCCTTCAATCCCGAACAAAGCGGTCTTGCTACTGTGGGAGGAACAAAGAATACCTACAAACCCTGCGGTCGCTCCTCCCTCCCTCCCTCTCTCCCTCCCTCCCTCCGTTCCTTTACGTCCCTCTCCCTGTCTTCCTCCATGTTCTAAGTTCTACATCAGCCACTGACACATGGATTCCAGACATACCCCTGCCTTTCTGTATGCGGTCTCCTGCTAGGAAAGCAATTGACATCCCATCTCTTGAAAGCCGCTAGCCTCCTGTACTTCCCTGATGGCGGCCTCAGCCTGAAACATGAGTGTGGGTACCTGACAAGCCTGTAGCGAGCATGTTAACCGCTCCCTCCCTCCCCACTCCCTCCTCCCACTCCTGCTTCCTCTCGCTGATCTTCTTCGACCAGGGAAGAAAGCCACGCCCGAACACCCAGAGCCGCGGTGCTTCGGTATGACATGAAGGCAGCCTGCCTCAAGCTGGCTAAGCTGTGCGGGCGCCACACTGGCATCAGTGTAAGACGCTTGGTAATCACTCCCTCCCCTTCCCCCGCCGCGGCCCCGGAATCTCCCGAACAGGGACTGGCACCCTCTGAAGGGACCTCCAGGGGGCGAGAAGAGGTGTCCGCGAGCGGGTCGCCACCTTCGGTTGACGTCATCGCTCGCCGCCCAAAGTTCGAAACGCGCAAGCCCTGGCCAAGACAGAAGGGATGAGAGGACGACAAAGAGTAGGAGGAGGAAAAGGAGGAGGAGGAGGAGGAAGAAGCGGAGGAAGAAGAGGGTAGGAGGCAAGTTAGGCGCGCTCGCGTCATATCTGACATCTTACCCCTCCTATCCATCCCTTTCCAAGGCTCTGATTGTTTCTCTATCCGCGGACGCGTGTCATAGCGAACCTGGAACTCCGAAAAAGAATACATCGTTCTATGCGCAATCGGAACAAGGGGATCTGCGTACACATAGTGGCTGATGAGCAGGAGAATGAGCAGGAGGGAAAGGAGGATGAGGAAGGAGCACGAGGACGAGGACGAACAGCAGCAGCGGGAACTGGAGCGGAAGGAACGGGAGAGGCAGGAAGACCAGGGGAAGGAGGGAAAAAGAGGGGAGCGACAAGGATGGGGAAGAACTCGGATCCAGAAAAGTGGCCCGCGCTGGGGTGAAACCCGCTAATCTGAACGTCGGGATCAGCACACCGATGCTAAAACTAGGCACCCGGTACAGCGGGAACAGCAGTTTGAAGAACCGAAAGCAATCGGCGTGCAAAAAAACATGGGGAGGACCAACTGTTGAGATCCCGCGTGTAAGAAAAGATACGCGGAGAGGGCCGACTATCTTCCAGACAGAGCCAGAGCGGTACTCTGAATGTGCGACTGTAGAGGATCAAAGCGCGCGTTGCTGACAGGGGCGGCCCTCCCTCCACCCACCCACCCTTCCGCCACTGACCGCGGCAACGGCCGGAACCGTTGACGGCGTC